AGTATCTTCTCTGACCACAATGCCATCAAGGTAGAAATTAACACTAGAAAGAGAAAGGGAAAAAAATCAGTTACATGGAAACTGAATAACACCCTGCTTACAAACCACTGGGTAATAGAAGAAATCAGAGAGAGAATCAAAAAATTCCTAGAATGAAACAAGAATGAAAATACATCATACCAAAACCTTTGGGACACAGCAAAGGCAGTTCTCAGAGGACAGTTTATAGCAATAGATGCATACATCAAAAAAGAAGAATGGGACAAAATCGAAACATTAACTACACAACTCAAACAAATAGAAAGAGAACAGCAAAAAAAGCCCACAGCCACCAGAAGAAAGGAAATAATAAAGATCAGAGCAGAAATAAATAGAGAACAGAAAAAAAATAGAAAGAATCAAGAAAATCGAAAGTTAATTCTTCGAAAGAATCAACAAAATCGACAAACTACTGGCCAGACTGACAAAAACAGGAGATGACGCAAATAACCCAAGTAAGAAATGGGCGACATTACAACACACCCAACTGAAATAAAAAGGATCATAACAGAGTATTATGAAAAACTATACTCCAACAGATTTGAAAACCTAGAGGAAATGGATAAATTTCTAGGAACACACTGCCTACCCAGACTACAAGTGATATTGAAAATCTGAACAGACCCATAACAAGAGAAGAGATTTAAACGGTAATAAAAAAACTCCCAACCAAAAAAAGCAATGGCCCAGATGGATTCACTGGAGAATTCTACAAAACATTCAGAGAAGAGCTTGTACCAGTACTATGCAAACTATTTCAGAGCATAGAAAAAGAAGCAACAGTTCCGAATTCATTCTGTGAAGCCAGCATAACCCTAATACCAAAACCAGGCAAAGACGTCACAAAAAAAGAAAATTACAGACCAGTATCTCTCATGAATATAGACGCAAAAATTCTCAACAAAATTCTAGCCAATAGAATTTAGCATCATATCAAAAAAATAATACACCACGACCAAGTAGGATTCATACCACATATGCAGGGATGGTTCAACATTAGAAAATCAATCAGCGTAATCCACTACATAAATAAAAGGAAAGAAAAGAATCACATGATCATTTGAGTTGATACAGAAAAGGCATTTGACAAAGTCCAACACCCATTCCTGATAAAAACTCTCAATAAAATAGGTATAGAAGGGAAATTTCTCAACATAATA